CCAGGATGGTCTCGATCTCTTGACCTTGTGATCCACCCGCCTCGGCCTCCCAAAGTGCTGGGATTACAGGCTTGAGCCACCGCGCCCGGCCCTGAGCTAGAATCTTGCTCTGTCATCCAGGCTGGAGTGCAGTGGTGCAATCTTACCTCACTGCAACATCCCCCTCCTGGATTCAAGCCATTCTCATGCCTCAGACTTCTGAGTAGCTGGGATTACAGGTGCCTGCCACCATGCCTGGCTAATTTTTTTGTATTTTTAGTAGAGATGGGGTTCACAATGTTGGCCAGGCTGGCCTTGAACTCCTGACCTCAGGTGATCTTGCCCGTCTCAGCCTCCCAAAGTCCTGGAATTACAGATTTCAGCCACCATGCCTAGCCTTAGATTGGTACTTTTTAAGTTTCAAATTTTACAATGCCTGTTTGAAGACAAGGGTTACTATCCTTTATCCTGTTTTTTTGTGGCCTTGTGCTTCTCTCAGTCACTTTTTATAGAATGAAATAATTCAATTCTTTTTTTTTTTTTTTTCAAGACAGAGTCTCACTCTGTCACCAAGGCTGGAGTTCAGTGGCATGATCTCAGTTCACTGCAACCTCCACCTTCCAGGTTCAAGCAATTCTCCTGCCTCAGCCTCCCGAGTAGCCGGGATTATAGGCATGCACCACCATGCCCGACTAATTTTTGTATTTTAGTAGAGACAGGGTTTCACCATGTTAGTCAGGCTGGTCTCAAACTCCTGACCTCGTGATCCGCCCACCTTGGCCTCCCAAAGTTCTGGGATTACAGGCATGAGCCACCATGCTCATCCTCAATTCTTGAATATGGCTGTGTGTTTTGTATTTTTAATTAAGCCTGGGCCTTCTTCTTGACAAATGTAGGTAGTGTCAGACCCTCAGAGAGTAAGCCTACATTTCTCCAATTGTCTTTTGGAGACCTTTTTTCCTTTTTGCAATAGGACAGATGAAAAGGCCAGCAGTGGCCAGGCATTTTTGGAGCCTGTGACCTTGACATCATCTCTGTTGGAACTTTAATCACAGTCAGTAGGGAGTCCTTACTTTTTATAGTACATCCAAATGTGATGCATTCAGTAGGGAGTCCCTTACTGATTATGATTAAAGCGTGTGTGTATGATGTTAAACACACAGCATACCTTTTACTTAATAATAATTTTTTAATAAAAATCGGCAAATATTGGAGGCTGTTGTGATACTTGGATTATGGTGTTTTTGTTCTATATTGTGACAAAATAAATGGTTGACATAAAGTGATGAGGTAGAGCCTGGCTTTTTGTATATTGATGGAGATATTACTATTGTAGACATACTGTTGTTTCTTGTATGTATTTTATTATATAATGTGTAAGATACTGCTATACGTGATAATTTATGTAAATTTCTTCTGTACTAAACAGTGAACCTACTGACCATAATAGCTATGTCATAGTCATTGTTACCATTCTTTCCTTCACCTCTGCCTTTTTCCCTTTCATCTTCTACTCTCCATTTCTATTCTCTTTCTTTTCCCCACCTTTCTTTCCTCTCCTTACCGCCTCCTCTTTCCTTTTGTCACTTTTCTAACATCAAATATTTTCGTGCCCATTGTATTCAAGGCATTCTACTTAGTCGGGGTTGGTGAGTGTGTCTTATACTGACAGATTGTAATTTCATAGTGGATGTGATATAAGTAACCAAAGATAAAGATGTGATATATGTTACCAAGAAAATATAAGCGTAAGATACAAAGTAAAAATTGCCATAGGAATGGTACAGAAGAAGAGCTAATGATTTCATATGATAAAATAATTGTTTTCAGCTGGACAGACAGGCAGGGCTTCTTAGGGGAGATGGCCTTGCCTAATATACTTTATAGTTAGAAGTAACCTTTCTTCCTTGGTATTAATAATCCTTCCTATGGCACTTGTTATAGAGAATAAACAGTGGAATATTTTAGTTTATGCAAAGCACTTAAATAAAAAACTTCACTCCCAAGTGTAGAAAGATACTACTTTTTCTTAAAAATTTTCATTTTTAGGAAATTTAACAAGTGAGGGTAAACAGGAAAATTAAAATAATACATAATGTCATAATTGGTTGTATCATGAGCATTAATAACATTAAGTGTTTTTCTACAGTGACGCTTTGGGGAATGCATCACATTTGGATGTACAATAGTTTATATTCTGGCTGCCATGTTATTTCACATGTAAATAGTCATAATTATTAGATATTTTGAGGGGAGGCATAATACAGAAAAGCATAAAGAATAAAATATAACCACTCTGTTATATCTGTTAAGAAGGTTTTTGTCACCAAGTAATAGAATACTCAACTAATAGTGACTTAAAGAAATAGGAGTTGGGCCAGGCACGGTGGCTCACGCCTGTAATCCTAGCACTATGGGAGGCCGAGGCAGGTGGATCAGAAGGTCAAGAGATAGAGACCATCCTGGTCAACATGGTGAAACTCCATCTCTATAAAAAGAAAGAAAAAACAGAGAGAGAGAAAAAAAGAAATAGGAGTTGTTTTTCACCTAAATCTGGAGGTGATAGTGTGGCATTTGTTCGGGACTGGGCATACTTCTCATAGATCAGAAGGTGTATGACCAATTTTGGAACAAAATAAGGAGATTGTTAGGGAAGGAGAAAGGGAATACTTTGAGCTTCTGAGCAAATGACTGCCATATCCATATTAAAAAAATTTTTTTTAATTTTAATTTAAATTCCTGGAATGGTATGCATAAAATGATGTTTTTGTTTTCTTGTTTTTAAATTTCTGTCTAGGAAGTTGTGTTTAATTCTAGTAGAAAAAGAGCATATGTTAATTTTATAACTTATGTAACAGGTGTTGTAAGAATGAAACTTTCTTTTGCAATGAAATGCTTTTTGTTTTTTTCTCGCTGGCAAATTGTAATGTCTTTTGTGGCTAATTGAAAGCAGAAATTAGGAAAAACTAGAAGAACCAAGCTTAATAAAATAGTTCAAAATTATTATAAGGGTTATTTTTTATTGGGTACCTCAAGAGTTTATTTGTAGTTTCAACCTATATATGTATGCTTATTTTTATTTACTTTTTCACTGGCATGTAACTTGTACAGCATGGTGTACACCTTAAGTGTACAGCTAAATGAATTTTTATATCTCTGTGCACCCATTCTGTTGCCATCCAGATGAAGAAAGGCCCTCATGCCCCTTCAAAGTCAACATTAACCTATATTTTGAGTGTATTTCTTGTGACATACACCTGCTAAATCAAACCAATGAGGAGGAAGAGTTGGTAAAATATAAAGTGTTATATGAATGTTCTTAATTTTATTTTACAGTGTTAACTTTGCTTGACTGTTTTCTTCTTTGAATCCATGAAAACAAGTTATAGGAAGAATTGCTAAGACTTCTTGATTTAGTAACTGTTATGTTGTTATCTTTGGTTTTCTTAATGTGTTTGTGAAGTTTGTGGTATTTATTTATATGATTTTCATGGTAGTATAATAAATAATGCTGTGAAATTTTAGGGAAGTGTTAAACCGCCTTGAATATAAGTGCTAGAAGCTCAACAGGTTTTAATTTTCTATAGTTTGTGCTAAAAATTCATTTTTCATGGATGCCTTAGACTTTTATTAATTTTTTTAATGTTCTATAAAGAAGTACTTACTTTTTGCCTGTAACTAAAGAAGGTACATAATGATACACTAACAATTTGATGGTATGACTTGTGTTGCACTTTGTAACATATGTTAATATATTTGTCCTGCAAACCTTCCTTTTATACTCTAAGAAGTCTAAATTTATTTCAGATAGACATAACGCCTGGTTTTGCTTTTGTTTATAACATGAACATGATGCAGTATAGAAAACGATGATAATTTTATGACATGAGTTTCTTGAGTTTGGAGATCTGGCTGTGGGTGGGCTCCATGAGTCCTGAGCATGCAGAGAGATTGGGTAGCTTAGCAAATCAGTAAGACATGCACAGCCTGTGCCACAGCAAACAGGTTGCATTGCTCCAAGAGAACTTGTCCAACAAGTATCTTACTTCATATCATGTTTTCAGATCGGATCTGGTTCCTCACGTCTTGGAACAGCAGCAACTATTAAAGGTAGGTGTGATCTAAATTGAAAGTTGCCCCTGACTTTCCCTTTCATTTTGGTTGTAATGAAGATAACAGTACTGTACATTCAAATGTAATGAAAAAAATCGTTCTTGAAACTATTTTATAGATAAAATTATTTATTTTATTAAAGATTGCTTGACTTACATCATGTGTCTCTTTCATCATCCAAGTTTTACAGAAGTGTTTGACCACTTACATTACCTTGCATGAATTATATAAGTTTTGATCTATAAGAAATTACCTTGCCTTTGAGGGAAAACACTTTCATGGGTTTTAGTAGGGTTCATGGAAAACTAAGTAATTTGATGTGAACTGTTGAATGTGGGCACCAATGAGACACACAAAAAAGAGCAAGTTATTTTCTGCTATTTGTTCTATTCAGATAATTTCATATTGTTTCTACCCTACAGTTTTTTAGGTTACTAATTTTTCCTGGAAGGAAATTCATGTTGGTTCAAGTTGTTATGTAATTTGCATTCCTTTTAAAAATCCACTTGTTTTTAAAGAAATAGTTTTATTAGTTTACATTTTGAAGCTTTCCATATTGTTTGGTTTTTAGTTCTGTGAGAATAATTAAGTGCTCTTATAGTCCATGATACTTCCTGTTAGTTCAGTGCATCTTCCATCATTGTAACCTTTGATACACAAAACTGCTTTAGTTGATAGACACCAGTAATCGTTGCTGTATTAATACTTCCTGCACACTACAGCCTTACTCTTAATATAATGTCCTCATATGTTTCTCTTTGTAGGAGATACTGATACTGCTAAGACTTCTGATGATATCAGTTTAAGTCTGGGCCAGAGTTCTAGTCTTTGTAAGGAAGGAAGTGAAGAACAAGGTAAGAACATTATTCTTTACTGTGATGTCATATACTGTGATGACCAGAGTGAATTTGTAGAATATGCTGCGTAAAATTTGACAGAAGTTTATAACAATTTAATATGGTATTTAAGGAAACATTAACATGAAATGTTACTGGAATGGTAGTTATACAGAGTTATACATCCTTTTAGCTTACTGGAACTCAGTTATACATGTTCTGTCAGATAAACATGGACAGAGAAATTCTGTGAGCATGTGCCCCAGAGTGAATATGAGAAGGGAGATAAGAATCTGCTATTGCTTTCGTTGGTTAGACCAACTAGCCCAGCTTAGGGATAACCTAGTATGTGAAACTATTATTTTCCATTCACTATGATCTCTAAATGCCAGCTGCTTTGTCTCTTGCCAACTGCAAAAACAGTAATAAGTTTTGACATAGTATCTTAGTCCATGTGCATTGCTATAAAGAAATACCTTAGACTGGGTGACTTATAAAGAAAAGAGGTATAATTGGCTCACGGTTCAGCCTGTACAAGAAGCATGGTGCCAGCATCTGCTTCTGGTGAGAACCTCAGGAAGCTTCCAATCATGATGGAAAGGGAAGGGGAACTGGCGTGTCACATGGTGAAAGAGGAAGAGAGAGAGAGGAGAGGGGTGCCATACATGCTCTATTAAACAGCCAGCTCTTGTGTGAACTAATAGACTGAGAATTCACTCATTATTGCAGAGATGGCACCAAGCCATTCATGAAGGATCCACCTTCGTGACTTGAATCTCTCCCACCAGGTCCCATGTCTAACGTTGAGGATCAACATGAAATTTGGAGGGGGACAAATATCTAAACCATATCATAGAGAAATAACTTGCTGTTGGACTTACTGAGAAACTGTGCATCTGTTACCAACATGGATGTTGCAGATTGTTAATAGAAATTTTGGCTATTTGTGATTTTTTTTTTTCTTTTTCAACTCCGTTGTAAATGAGTATTTTGAATTTTATTGATTTTTTTAACTACCGCATTTTCATGTTTGATTTCTAATTTTCAAACATAAAGCAACAGATATGTCATCCCCGTTTTTCTAATGGAGATTATCCAAGGTTCTATAATTAATGAGCCAGAAATAGATTAGAAACCTGTCTCACTATTGCCACCCTGTTATAACCATGTTTTTATTAACCTATGGGTGATGTTTGGTGGGCAGACAGGCTGACAATTTTTTTATTTTTAATTATGAAACTTGTTTATGAGGCTACAAACAGATAACTAAATTAGGACATTTGCCCATTAATATTTTACCCAGGTTTATTTCTTACAAGCGTATTTTGTTACTGTTAGTTGGAATTTTAAGTTTATTATTGTAACTCTCTGCTTTTTTGGAATTACAGTACCCTGTCATTCTTTTTTGCTTCTGTGGACTGCCCTATTTAACCCTATACCCCATTCCTAAAACTGAAAAGACCTTTAAATGTACTGTGTGGGCTGGGCACAGTGGCTCATGCCTGTAATCCCAGCACTTTGGGAGACTGAGGTGGGTGGATCACTTGAGGCCAGGTGAGACCAGCCTGGGCAACGTGGTGAAACCTTGTCTCTCCTAAAAACACAAAAATTATCCAGGGTGGTGGTCCACGCCTGTAATCCTAGCTACTCAGAAGTTGAGGCACGAGAATCCTTTGAACCTGGGAGGTGTAGGTTGTAGTGAGCCGAGATTGTGTGACCGCAGTTCTTCCTGGACAGAGCAAGACTCTGTCTCCAGTAAATGAATAATTGATAAATAAATGTATGTGTATACGTATGTATGTAGTGTACTTTGTGTTACGGAAACTTTTAAAAATATCCAGCCTGGGTAACATAGTCAGATGCCTATCTCTGCAAAAAATAATAAAAAACATTATCCAGGCATGATGGTGTGTGCCTGTAGTCTCAGCTACTTGAGAGGCTGAGAGGCAGGAGGATCACATGAGTCCAGGATGTTGAGGCAGCAGTAAGCTGTGATAGTGCCGCTGCATGTGATAGTGCCACTGTACTCCAGCCTGGGCAACAGAGGGAGACCCTTTCTTTCTTTCTCTTTCTCTCTCTCTCTCTATCAAGCAATCAGTATCAATTTCTTTGAGAATAGCAATATCCATTTCTACAATATGAGACCATCACAGTGCCTCAACAACTAGATAATAACCTTAGAGGGTTTGGTGCCCTTGTGTTTAGGGATTTTATACATATATATGCATGTCTTATTTCATATCTGGAAAGTACCATATGTATATAAGATTTTTATAGTCTGGCAGGTTGGGTAGATTTTTATACACACAAATCTACCCTTGCAGCTATGCATTAACATAGACAATGATGTCTGTCATTCACTGGGTGCTTACTGTTGGCCAAGTTTGGGGTTAGGATACTTTCCTGTAAAGGACCAAATAGCTTGTTAGATAGGACATGTGGCTTCTCTTGCTACTCAGCTGCTCAACTCTGCCATTGTAGAGTGAAAAGAGTCATAAACAATACAAAAATAGTGGGCATGGCTGTGCTCTCCTAAAATTTTGGTTTACAAAAACAAGTTTGAGGGCTGGATTTGGCTTCATTGGCCTTAAGTTTGTCAACCCTTGGTTTAAGTCCTCTTCTAAGCATTTTATATGCATTCATCCAGTTAATCTTTACTATAAACGTTTGAAGTTGGTACTGTTATTATTCTCACTTTACAGATGAGCATGTTATTGTCTAGAGAGAAGTTATAAGAAACTTGTTCAAAGTCATACAGCTACAGAGTGGCAGTCCTATAATTCAAATCTACTTTTGAATTATGCTTTTTAAAATTTATACTACTTTCATATAGTTTTAAAACTTGCTTTTATCATGTAACATTTTTCCATATGTTTAACATTTAACAAATATTGTTGAGTACTCTCGGCACTCTTTTAAGTACTGGAAATAAATCAGTGAATAAAAGGACAAAATGTTCCACGCTTATGTGGCTTCCATACTATTAATATGGAATCATACTGGTATAAATCAACATATATGTAGTAAGTAGAGACAGAAGATAGGGATTGGTGGGGACTGGGGTAATTTTAATTTTAAATAGAGTAGTTGGAGGCAAGCCTTTCTGAGAGCTAAGACCTGAAGAAGGAGTGAGTGCTCAGGATATCTGAGGGGAGGGGCCTCCTCTATGTAGGAGGAACAGCAAGGGGCAAAGCCCTAAACCAGGAGTGTGCCTGTCAGATTTGAGAAATATTATGGCTGACTCAAAGTAAGTGAAGGGTCAAACCGTATGGAGTTTTGTAAGCCATTTTAAAGGTGCATTTTAATTCAGAGTGAGATAAGGAACTGCTAATGGGTTGTATTTCATTTCATTGGAATCACTCTGGCATCTGTTTTGAGGAATATATTAAAAGGGGCAAAAGTTGAAGCAGGGAGCTCCCTTAGCAGATTAGTGCAGCAGTCCAGAGCACAGATCAGAGTAGTGAGAAGTAGTCTGACTGTGTGTAGAAGATACTAAGAAGATAGGTTATGGATTTGGTTATACTGTGTGCGAGAAGTATTGGTCATGGATGACTTAAAGGCTTTTGAGTTAAGCATCAGGGAGGACGAGGGCCTGCTAACTGAAAGGAGGAAGACTAAGAAGTAGATTTGAGGTGGAGAGAGCTTGGGGGGTAAGTTAGGGGGTTCAGTTCAAGGCATATCAGTGCTGTTAGACCTGTACACAGCAATGAGCAGATAGAGAGGTCCAGATTTCAAGTAAGAGGTCTGGGTTGGGGGTTTTAGATTCAGAAGTTGTCAGTGAATAAATAACAACAAACAACACAGGTGGCATACACCTGTGGCCCAGCTACTCGTGAGGCTGAGACAGGAAGATTGCTTGAGACTGGGAGATCAAGGCTGCAGTGAGCCATGATTGCATCACTACACTCCACCTTAAATCTGCTCCTCCTCAGTCAACAAAATCAGTCATGTCAGTTAAGGGTTGGGTATTATGAAGTTGATAAACTATCAGTGCAAGCCTTCTGGTTAGCTGGTTGGGGTTTGTGTGGCCTGACTTCTTGATCCAAATCCCTTTTCACGGCTAGGGTTTGGCGCCACCTAGTGGCAAATGTTCATGCTGGCTTAAATATCATTTGGGACTCTTCCCATTCTCCTCTGGTTTGTATTTACAGGATTTACAGGACAATGATCTTTAGTTAGTTGGTTAATAGTTAGTTGATTAGTTGGCATTTTGTCACATCATTCAGGATGACTGGGGGAAAACAGGATATTGGGATGTATCCTCAACTTTTTCACTTCTAGGATAATCTAGTTTCCTTACCTCTCACTCTTGTCTTCCTTATCCAAGATCAGAACTTCAGACCATCCCCATATGAATACGAGGACTGGGTAGAAAATGGAGGAACTAGTTACAAATATTTCTGAATTTTAGTTTGTCATGGGGATAGAAAACTGGATGAGATTTACAAAGAGAAAGTATAGGTAGAAAAGTGAAAAGTTCTAGCCAGGTGTGGTGGCTCACACCTGTAATACTAGCACTTTAAGAGGCCAAGGTGGGAGGATTGCTTGAGGTCAGGAGTTTAATACCAGCCTGGGCAACATGGTGAAACCTTGTCTCTAAGAAAAATACAAAAAATTATCTGGGTGTGGTGGCATACACCTGTGGCCTGGCTACTTGTGAGGCTGAGGCAGGAAGATTGCTTGAGCCTGGGAGATCAAGGCTGCAGTGAGCTATTATTGCACTACTGTACTCCAGCCTGAATGTCAGAGCAAGACAAAGTAAAACGTTTTAAGATCTGAATCCTGAGCCTCTTTAGTTTAAGAAGTCCAGGAGACTGAGTAGGTACAACTAGTGAGATCAAAGGAAAACCAAGACTATTATATGCCTGCATTCAAGGAGGATGGATTGACCAGTTTCATTAAGTGCTGCTGATAGGTCAGGTGACATGAAGACTGAGACTTGACCATTGGATTGAACAATGTAGAGGATGGTGGTGACCTTGATAAACACAGTCTTAGGGGAGTTAAATTGGAATCCAAAGAGAGAATTTGAGGAGAAGAATCAGAGAGTGAATATAGACCACTTTTTCAGTGAATTTTTTAAAGGTGATAGCGAGCAGGGGAAGTAAAGATAAGGGAGGGATTTTGATTTTGTAAGATGTTTTAAGTGAAATAACGGCATGTTTCTATAATTGATTATTATCCATAATCTATTGAAGAGGAAGATCAGAAGAGAGAGTGTGATTTACCCTTCTGCCACTGAGAAATTAGTTTTTTCTTGGCATATCACTTTTTCATATTTTTTTATTTTGATATAATTCAGTGGTTTTTAGAATATTGTGCATCCGTCACCACAATCTAAATCAAGAACATTTTCATGACCCCAGAAAGAAATCTGCACCCATTACATTCCCCATTTCCTCTTTAAGCAGCTCCTGACAACCTCTAGTTTACTTTCTGTTTCTATAAATTTGCCTAATCTGGACATTTCATATAAATGCAATCATGTGTTTTTTTTTAATGTGCCTGGCATCTTTCACTTACCTTATTCTGGCGTGTATCAGGATGTTATTTCTTTTTATGACTAACTGTGGTATATCACTTTTTACATTTATAAAAATATACGCATATATACCATTAGCATTTGTTTAAACTTACAGAACTGGAATTATACTTTTTATATAGTGCCACCTTTTCCACTTAAATATTTTCTCATGTTATTACATAATCTTCGAAAATGTTTTTAGTAATTGAATGAAATTATTAGTAAACTTCATAACTTATTCAGCCATTATTTATAGGACATTGTTATACTTTTTGTGCTTTAAGAACTTTTATAGTAATGTGACATGAACAACCTTGTGCTAAAAACCTTGTACACATATTTGACTCTATCCTTTAGCAAGTTTCCTACCTTAAAGGTAAGAATACCTTTTCAAGCTTCTTGGCCTTATTGCCAGATTGCTTTACAGAAGATTATACCAGTTGGTACCACTATGAGCAGTATGCCTTTCTTATTCTAAATGCCACTAATAATTAAGAAAAAAAAAAAAGTTTGATTTAATGAAAAATCGTATCTCTTTGTGTTGATTTGGGCCTCTTAACTTTGATATAATCTTTTTTCGTATGGGTAAAAGTAAGAAAAAATGTATTTACTGGAAAATTTCCTGAAACCACTAAATTCTTTCTGACAAAATTAAAACTTTTATGGTATATTTGTTTAGCAGTATAGAAAAAAAGTGCATGTATTAAAGTAAGTTTGGCTGTGTCTTTTAAAATGAAATACTTTCATTTCTGTTTTATTAATTTCCCAGAAGGAAGTTGGTTTTGATCATTAGCATTTTTAAAAAATCCTTTATTATCTTAGATTTAGTGATTTTCAATTACTTGCTCAGAGTTGATAAGTTTTCTGTAAAATTCATATCCTTGAAATGTGTGAATATCATACCAACCCATAATTGCTTTTTCAAGATAGAGTTTTTAAAAAATAACATTATGATTTAATACTACAAAAAGTACAAAGCTAGCTTTTAAAGTTTGATGTTTAGAAGATATAAGAACCCAACTACAGTAGCAGCTGTGCTAGTAAAATAATAAAGAACATGGGTTTTACTTATCTTGAAAACTTTAAAATGTAAGAAAAAGTATGATTGGACATTTATAAGCTGTAATTTTTATGGTATACTCCAGAGGCTATCTGTGAGTTTTTAATTAATTAATCATAGCTAAATCTACATTTAGATTTTTTTAAAGTACATAAACATTTTTAGTAACTCATTCTTTTATTTTAATTTTAGGGGGAAATGTCTGCTTTGGTCATTGAGATTCTACTAGGAAGACTCAGACTTACTATAGAATCTGTTATTGTAATTTGTCTATGCAGCTATGACAAATAAGCCAATAATTTTTCTTCTTATTGAACTAACAGCAGGTTCAAATCTCCTTGTCTGTCAAAACGTATATTAAAAAATCAGCTATTGTGCAGCTTGGTTGTCAAGCTCTTTTCCAAGACAATGTAGGTGGGTAGGTAGATGCATTTATTTATATCTATATTTTCATTTATATATATAGTATGTATGATAAGTCACTAATCACTGGTCTAGAGGGAGGGTTAAAGCAGTGATCTTAGAGATACAAGAAAAGTATTTTTTTCATGAAGTATCTTATAATCGCTATACCAATAATAAAAGATAAAATGCAGTATTTTGCTCTGTAATTATTGCTGTTTTAACCATTCTGAACAGCAGCATGTCTTATATCATTATATCTTGTTTGGGCAATGGTCAACCTATTTTTGTTTGTTTGTTTCTGATTAGGTTTTCTTGATTTGTAAAATAATCATATTAACTTTTTGAAAGGACTTTAGTATTATGTTAGAAGGTAAAATAATGATAGCTACCTTTGATGGTGACGGCATTGTGTCAAGCAGTATATGTCATTAACTCAGTTATTCCTTGCTTGTGACTCAGTGAGGTTGGTGTCACATTTTACAGATGAGGAAATAGAGACTTAGAGGGGTAACCCAGAGTTACCTAGTTAGTAAGTTGGAGACAGAGCTTGCCTAGAAATCCTGGCCTGTTTTAATTATAATCCTTTGTTGCCTCTTATGTTATTGTTGATAGTCTATAGAACTCTTTCTGAGGCCAATTGAAGACCCAAAGATTGGAAGCTCAGTTCATTTCATGAGTAGAATGCTTTCTTTGTGCAGCTGTGAAACAGAAGCCAGCTCTTTGGTGAACTACTTGAGAAATTGTTTATACTTTATTTACTGTATGCAATGAATTCTTTCCATTGTTCAACAGTAGAAAAACAGATCATACATTTATTTTAACGTTTCCAAATATGTGTTTGAAACAGATTTGGCAACTGATCGGAAGCTCTTTCGTCTTGTTTCCAATGACTCCTTCATCTCCATTCAGCCTTCCTTATCCTCTTGTGGACAGGACTTACCAAGAGACGTCAGTGACAAAGTGAGCCTGCCAAGTCATAGTCACCACCACCATGTTGATCAGTCTCTGTCCAGTGCCTGTGACACAGAAGTAGCTTCTCTTGTACCTTTACACTCACACTCTTATAGAAAAGACCACCGGCCGCGAGGTGTACCACGGACTTCTAGCTCTGCTGTGGCTTTTCCAGACACTTCACTGAATGATTTTCCCCTTTATCAGCAAAGACGGGGGTTAGATCCAGTTAGTGAGTTAGAATCTTCCAAGCCTCTTTCTGGATCCAAAGAATCCTTGGTGGAAAATTCTGGTTTATCTGGGGAAGTTCAGCTTGCTGGTGACTTGAAAATCAATGCTTCTCAGCCACCCACAAAAAGTGGGAAGAGCAAACCATTGAAAGCAGACAAAAGCATGGACAGCTTGAGGAGCCTGAGCACACGGAGTAGTGGGTCAACAGAGAGCTACTGCAGTGGAACAGACCGGGACACTAACAGTACTGTCAGCAGCTATAAAAGTGAGCATACCAGCTCAACTCACATAGAGAGCATTTTGTCAGAGCATGAGTCGTCTCCTAAAGCAGGAACAAAAAGTGGGAGGAAAAAAGAGTGCTGTACAGGCCTAGAGGAAAAGAGTAGCTGTGCTGGTGTCAAAAGGACTAGCAGTGAAAAGATTGCCATGGAAGCGAGTACCAACAGTGGAGTTCACGAAGCCAAGGACTGTACGCCCTCTGATGAGATGCACAACCAGAGAGGTCTCAGCAACTCTGCATCTGAAGAAGCCAATAAAAATCCACATGCAAATGAATTTACTTCCCAAGGGGACAGACCACCTGGGAATACTGCAGAAAACAAAGAAGAGCAGAGTGATAAGTCAGCTGTTTCTATGGATTCCAAAGTGTGTAAAGATGTTGGTGGAAAGCCAAAGGAAGGGGATGTTCGACCGAAATCTTCTAGCGTAATCCATCGGACAGCTTCTGCCCACAAGTCGGGCAGGAGACGGACAGGAAAAAAACGAGCTAGCAGTTTTGATTCAAGTCGGCATAGGGACTATGTTTGCTTTCGAGGTGTTTCTGGTACCAAGCCACACAGTGCTATATTTTGTCATGACGAGGACTCTAGTGATCAAAGTGACTTGAGTAGAGCATCAAGTGTTCAGTCTGCTCACCAGTTCAGCAGTGATAGCTCATCTAGCACCACTTCTCATTCCTGTCAGTCTCCTGAAGGCAGATACAGTGCTCTAAAGACCAAACACACTCATAAAGAAAGGGGCACAGACTCTGAACACACACACAAAGCTCATTTGGGTCCTGAAGGAACTGGCAAAAAGCGTGCAGCACGACGGACTTCTAGCACAAATAGTGCCAAGACTCGCGCCCGAGTGTTGAGCCTGGACAGTGGCACAGTAGCATGTTTGAATGACCCAAACAGGTTAATGGCACCTGAAAGCATAAAGCCCTTAACCACTTCAAAATCAGATCTTGAGGCCAAAGAGGGAGAGGTGCTAGATGAGCTATCTTTATTAGGACGGGCTTCCCAGTTAGAGACAGTCACTCGGTCTAGGAATAGCTTGCCAAACCAGGTTGCATTTCCTGAAGGGGAAGAGCAAGATGCAGTCAGTGGAGGTAAGTAAACTGTAAGAGATTTCTCTAAGAGTCACTACTTTTTCGTACTGTTAATTGGAGTAGTACTTACTAAAATATACTTCTGTTAATATTTCCCCTTCCACGGTGTTATTAAAATAAACTTTCTTGAATGGAGAGGTAGGTTAGAAAAGGTTTTGGTATGAACACCAACAAAATATTTTTTTGGTTGCAATATTTGACTATGTCGATTTGTTCTTGATGGTGTCAAAAACACCAGTTTCTAAGCCAGCTGCCACCTGTAAATGTTTTGCCGGAAATAACAAAAATTAGTCCCCTTTCTTTTTATAACAGTAGCAACGGTAAAATATATAATTATGTAAGGGCACGAAACCAGTTTTAGTCATCTCTTATACAGTATATGACACTGAACTTTCAGAATTAGATCACTCAGCCTGTTATATAAGAGTTTTCCAAATATTACTTTAACTCTGATTATGTACTTTGAAAATTATGGCTCTTTTTAAAAATCTGTGTCATTGGTTTTATTTCTTGCTTAAGTTTCAGACATTACAGAAATATTTTTTCCTATAATTTCACGTTATTCTTAACATTTATTAAATCGAGATTTGTAGGTTATATTGATATTTGGTATCCATTAATTGATGTAAGATGCCCCCATAATAACGGTGATGGTGTTCTGGTTAAAGTAATAGTTTATTTAAGGTTTATGGAGAATTGTGCAAAATTGGATATTCTGTCAGTGTGTGTTGGTCTCTTTATTTCAGAGTTGTTATTTCTTGCTATTTTCTTCTGCCCAAGATCGTTTGTTTATTTGGTTCTGTTTATTATGGAATCTGCTTCAGAATCAGAAGAATCAGATTTTTTGTTGTTAGTACCTTAGCTTTTTTAGCCTCTACCACTATTCCCTTTATTTGTGCTTGTATCTTTAGCTTTAAAGTTTATAGTCTGGTTAATATAGTAATGTTCAGTCACTTATTAAAAGTTAAGCTGGATTTTGTTTGTACAAACATTCTGAAACATGAATATATGCTTTTTCTCTCACAGATGTTAATTTCATCCAGAGTATTTTAAAAGTCTATATTGTGGTAAACATTTCTGTAGATTTTTTTTTTTTTTTGGGTGAAGTTTTTAGCCAGCTTAATTTCTAATGGGAATGTAAAGAAATTATCTCGTACCTAAAGAAGAATGTAGTTTATCAAACCTGAATATTGAGAACTAATAATATCTGAAGTGGTTATAACCATTCGGTGACAATGGAGTAATTAAATTCCCTTTAGTCTTTGACCTGGATATAGTTCTCTTTTTTTGTAAACAATCTGAAATGCTTGTAGTGATTTCTCTCACAAATCATATCAGATATGTTCACGGTATGCAAGAAACAATTAGATTTTAAAATATAGCTTAATTTTTAAAATTATCAAAATGAATTTTAAGTAAACATGCTATAATAGAAAAATATTGCTATTCTGAATATTGTTGAAATGTCAATACTGCAAAAATATGTACAAAAGTATGTAGTAAATTCAGGCCTTCATATTTAATATGTCATTTCCTTTTCTTGGGGAATGTGGAATATTCTGTTTTTTAAGAAAAGTTGCCTGAAAGATGTTATTTGCCTCTTGGTGCTGTTAAGTTATAGTAACCCTCATTTTTCCAGCCTCTAGATTTTGTTTTCTTTGTTTGTACTCTTTTTAAAAAATAACTCCATTAAATGTTAAGAAACAAATAATGAAATAAAAATTTCCATCTACTTCGCTGGAAGAAACGTAATAACCTGTGAGCTGTTTAAAACCTTTTTTTGCCTAAGGATTTTTGCCTAAGCATTGCAAAGTCTACTTTTATTTGAGCTTCATTGGGTTTAAAATACAAACAAGAACAAAACTAAAGCACTTAAATGTGTTGGGTTTTTTTTAATTGGTTTTTATCATAACTAAATATAGAGGTTTTGTTGGGAGTTTATTTGGGCTTTTTGGAAGGTTGGAGGTGGTAAAAGGGGATTTGTTTTGATTCTCATTATTTAAAAATTACATAGACACTCAAATACTGGTTAAAGATATTTGTTTATGTTAACATTACTTGTTACAGTTTAGAAGAAATGTCTGACAGTGTAGAATAAATGTTTTTGGGCCGTCCTTTCTTACATACTGTACTACTGAGACCTGTCAACAAATCATGTTACTGCTTGGCCATTCATATACCTTTGCACAGATAGACTTTATCCTAAGGAATTTGAAGGCGTTGATAAGTTCTCCAACTTTTTGTTGGAGAAACAAAGTTTCTTTTTGTTTTATTTTAAGGTAGGTGGTGGTGGTGTGGAGAGATTGAATTTAGGAAATATACTTTAAAGTACTAAAAGTACTCTAAAATAGGAGGTAATCTAGTTTAGCGACATGAAATCAAATACCTTTGTTAGTATGTGGGCTTCACTGTTGTGACTCTAGGAAAGCTCCTTATAAACCTCAGCTTCCTCACCTGAAAATGAGATGATTACAGTATCTGTCTCATAGGGTTGTTGTGAGGACTAAGGAGTTAATACAGGAAAATGCTTATAACAGTGCCTAGCACATGGTAAATGCTTACTAGTGCTGCTATGACTAATCAAGGCCAGTTAGTTATGCTACACAATGTAGCCTGTTCTTTAATCCTATTAATTCAGTGGTATAAAATTAAAATAGAAGAAAATGATTAAATGTTGAAATAAATTAGTGATATTCTAAGTGTGCCATTGTGAAACTCAGTAATAAAATAAATAGTAAAAATAAAAATATCTGATTCCCCAGTTTCTTACGTAATGCCAATAGGAAGAACATTTTTTATTAACATCAATTTAGTGGCATAGATTTTAACCTCATTTTGGCAGTAGTATGTCATATAACTTACCTTTGTAAGTCACATAACAAGTGATTGTCTTCATAGGCCCTGTCATCATTAATCAAATTATTTGGTTAAAACTGGATTTTATCAATAATGGTTTGTGATTACCGAGACAGGAAATATGTTTTAAGGTCAGACTAAATCATTTTCTGTTGATCTCTTGTTTTGTACTTAATTTTTCTTTTTAAATTATAAGGCATATTTTAAATTTATGACTAATATTTTAAGAAATGAAAACTATATACAGGCTATATGGTAGAAAAATGTCCTGTGTTTTCTAGCTTATATTACTTTTAATAAAGTCCTTTTCTTTTGGGCCATTTAAACTTATTTCCTGTGTGATTCAATACTGTTATTATAGCATATTGTGTGTATCACTTAATTGGATTACAAAGAATAGCCCTAGTGGAGAGGATTGTGTTTACTTATTATTCTTTGTGCTTTTTTCTGAATTGTTTAACCTGTATTTCTCTGTGAAATTTATTTTAAATGTAATGTTTGAGTCATTATTCTGTAAGCATGAAATAGGATCCTAATATTGTGTTGGGAAACAAAAATAATCTTTAAAGAAACAATTATTTAAAGAAAAGTCAGATCTTTTCAATAAACAGTTTATGAGGGTTTGTGCTGTACAAATAAATTGAAGGTGTGCTGTTTTGTACCCAAATATCATTAAGCATTAGATGGAAGATAAAGACCAGTAAACAGACAAGAAAATGCAAATTATAGCTTTTGTACTTTACTGAATAGAAAGACTCTCAAGTCTAATAAACGTAATTTTCTGATATCCCAGTCTACATGGAAAGTTAGAAGCAGCAAATTAGTGGCAAGGATGGGTACTTATACAGGCTGAAGTTATGACAGCAGAAGAAATACACAGCTGACTCTAAAAGAGGAGCTATAATAACTGTACAAGCCAAAGTAGGAAACCCAGCGGTGTGTGGTTATTCAATGCAGGGGCAGACTATCTTTCTTATTTTAATAGTGTTCAAGGACATCATAATAGCATAACTTATGCTCTATTAAAGTATAATGCTGTACTCATTGTATATGTGGCTGACCTTGATTTATTAAGGAAAGATGTTCTTTACTGTGAAAAAAGCTTAAACATATAAAACTGCGTAGAAGAATGCTCATTAAATACAGCAAAATAGGTTTGGCAAAATTATCTTCCTTTCCAACAATATCAAGAAAAGAGATGTTTATTGATGAAGCACATAAATGTTTACATATAGAATTCCCAAAACCAGCCCATGCATGATTTTGTTAAGTAGGAACAAACAATACCGTGAATTTCTTTCTCTCAGTAGTGAAGTTCTGGGTAAGGAATCAAATGGTTACATTTTCATACCACCTCTAATTACTGTCTGAATATTCTGGCAAGCCATCAAATCTGTGCCTCGACTTCCTCAACTGTAAAACAGGAATAATAACTGTCTCGGCCTGTCTCACAGGTAACTATCAGACTCCAGTGAGCTTAAACCTAATAAGTGTAGAAATGTGAAAATGCTTTATGTATTGTAGGTTCATTATATAAACAAATACAGTTATGTCTTTCATTTGTAAGGATGTTTCCCCTCTCAAAAATGTCACTTCAAATAGGTTCATCACAAATGAGGCTTTGTTAAGGGACTGTCCTGAAAGTAGATGCAAAATTGTATCTGAAGGGTCGATATCTTTCATCTCATTCACAAAGGGTTAAAAAGGATAAGAAATCACCTATAAAAGTAAGTAATACTAAAGCTATATTTGTTTGGCTTCTGAGCTTGTGGAAAATATCAGTAAGGATATGCAAATTCTCTTTAACTCAAAGCTGGGCTAATAATTTTGTTTTTCTTCTTTTGAGATGGAGTCTCACTCTGTTGCCCAGGCTGGAGAGCAATGGCGTGATCTTGGCACAGTGCAGTCTCCACCCGCCAGGTTCAGGCGATTCTCCTGCCTCAGCCTCGCGAGTAGCTGGGACTGCAAGTGCCTGTCACCATGCCCAGCTGATTTTCGTATTTTTAGTAGATATGCGGTTCTACCATATTGGCAAGGCTGGGCTCGAACTCCTGACCTTGTGATTCGCCCACCTCAGCCTTCCAAAGTGCCGGGATTATAGGCATGAGCCAACGAGCCCGGCCACCGCTAATAATTTTGTTGTC